CCCCAAAACCCCAAAACCCCAAAACCCCTTTCTCTAAATCTTTACTATATAAATAAAAATAAATGGAGAAAACTGAAGCAGACTCAGGTTCGAGCTCAAAGCGCCCAGCAGATAGTAAAATTCCTAGCGGAGTTACCATCATGTCGGAAGCCACGACTCTTACCGAGAGCCAGCTTAAATGATACAAGCATAACAAGTTATTTGAAGCTATCAACATTCAGGGTAATCAGTTGATGTGTATCGATTGTGTAAAAGAGTCGAAAAATAAATCCGAAAAGCTTCAAATCAGTGATCTTAGCTTGATAATACAAGACAAAATTACTGAGAACATTGAGATACTGGAGAGATATCAGACCATTTACTCCAAAGAAAGCTCGATTAATGATTTACTACGCAAAGTCTTCAAGTCCATGCATGAAATCCTTTACGAGATTGAGCACAACAAGAGGCTTGAACTTGACTACATCGGAGTAGGACTGCTTAAGTACAGTTCGTTTGCAGATGCCAACTCTGGACAATCATCGAATCAGTAAGAGTAAATAACATGTATAGGATTTACCAGGCAGATGGAACAAAGATAAAGTCGGATTCAGACCAAATCGAGACCAAGGAAATCTTCACAAAGCTCCAGGAAATGCAGAAGCAGATAGGAAAATATGTGAAAGAGCAAAACTATCTTGAGTGATTCAAACTCAGAGATGAATATCAGGCTATATGTAATAAAGCCCTGAGTAAAATGCAGAACTTCGAGAAATATGGGTCTACCACGCCAGACATTGATGCAGCCTTTAATAACTTGTTCAGAGGAGCAGAGCAAGCAGAGTCTTCTGCAGAGCTACTCTTTCCTCTTGGGGATATTGAAGCCAAGCTTAATGATATTGTAAACTCATTTGCAAGAACTGATAAGCTTAGATTAACTCCTGGAAGTCAGCCTCCAAGGATTAAAGATGACAAGATCCACGAAATTATTGGAGTTGAGAAGAACTTCAAGCACAAAAATGATGTACTCTGTGTGCTGAGTCTCAAGAACGGAATGATTGTATCTGGATCTTCTGATGCTAGTATTCGTATTTGGGATCCCAAGTCAGGCAAATGAGTCAAAGTCCTTGAAGGTCATACCCACACAGTGCTCTGCATCATTGAGCTTGAGTCTGGGTATCTAGCTAGTGGCTCGATGGACCAGACAGCTATTATTTGGAATCCTAATAATGGCAAGATAGTGAATATCTTGGAAGGCTTCCAGAACCCTATCATAGGCCTAGTGGAGTACGACCAGAAGCAGCTTGCTATCAATTTCAATGAGCCATTACTATTAGTATGGAGCTGGAACAATTCTTCAAAGTCGTCGGGGAGTTCAAGCACATTTTCTCTCGGTGACTCAGGCTTGTCTTGAGTACAAAAACATGAAGATTTCTTAATCTGAGGGTGAGAAGATGGCATGATTTGCAAGATTGAGCCAGGCAATTCCACAAAGCCAACTTTGAAATATATGGAGCACTCTGACGTAATCTTGGACATCAAGTCTGTGAATGAGAGAATGTTCGTATCCAACTCCACAGATTTATCAATAATCTTATGGGAAGCTGCTACTGCTGATGTGCTCAAAACAATAAAACTTTGAGATGACATTTGCTTGGCAATGAACTACGATAAAGATCTTGACATGTTGATATTCGCATGACTTGATGGCAAGATCCAGGCTGTGGACTTATCTCCAGAAATTGAAGAAGTCAAAGTCAAGTATACTCTTCATCAAGAAAGTGCAGTGTACTTCTGAGCATGGATTGGCTTCAAAGAAATGAAGATTTTGAAGAAAGGCAAGAACGGCCCTTCTGAAGATATCCACAACCAAGTTATTAGGGAAGAAGTTGAATCAGCAAGGTCCGATAAAGACAAGAATACTGGCTCGCCAGGTGGAGCTGAAGAAAAGAAAGAATTAAATATCGGCAAGGTTGAGCTTGGAGGTCAAAAGCCCAAGATCAACATGAATCTGGGGATTGGCCAAGCACTTCCTGGAAAGAAGCAAAAAGTTAACATCGCTGGCCTCCAAGGAATCAACAAACAAGTTCTTGAAGATCCTCAGGTAGAGGAGATGCGTTCACAAGGAATGTGATATGTCATTGCCACTATTGACCAAGAGAATAGCAATACCCTGATTCTGTGGGACTTGCAAGGAGACGGAGAAGACAAGCCAACAAAAATATGCGAGATCGACACTGGTTTTACAAGTGATGAAGTCACTTGTATGATCAAAGGAAATGACGACAAGATTTATATTGGAGGAAGAGATGGTAGCTTGAAAGCAATATGCATCACAGATGCTGCAAAGTAAATCCATACCAGAGTCGTGGTTGAGAAGGCAAATAGCTTCAGCCACAAGTAATTTGCCTTTACCTGTTTACAAATAAAGTTTGAAGTTCTATGAAAATTCAATAAAAATTGAAGGTGTGGGGTTTTGGGGTTTTGGGGTTTTGGGGTTTTGGGG